TATTAATGGTTATTTCTTATTTGTTTTCTTATAACTTTCTATTTTATTATTTAATAATTATTAGTTGTAATTATATTATATTGTAGTGACTATGTTAAAAATGTGTAAGTTAATTGAAAATATTTTTCAACTTTTGTCACCGTTATTTCTTGCATAATCCTACTATTTTGTGTGTGACTTATGGTATGGTCGGGTATGTGGCATCATAGGTCATTTCTTAAAAAATATATTTTTATTTTTTTCTTAAAAATTAATAATATAAATATTTATTAAATACACTTATTAATTTTTAAAATATGCATTATGTTTTAATTATTAAAAAAAATAATACAAAAATTTTTATATTTAGATGCATCTTTAAGAGCTTGAATTTTTGTGATTCATGGTGTCCCGGTCTCGTCTAGTAGGGTAACTCCGGTATATACGCCGCACCTAACAAAAATTCAATTTATTAAGTATTATTTATTATTTTTGAAGTAAACGAATTATATCAGTAAAAACTTTGTACTGTCTACTATTATGAAAAAATATAGGAATCCGAAATATTTATTTTTTGTATTAAAAAGAATTTTTTGAAACCCTTACATTTTTGCCGTATATCTCATAGGGGGAAGGTATGGTTCATGAAAAATTTACAAATAATGCTTATAAATAAGACGTAAAATGATACAATAACTTATATAATATGTTTACAAAGTTTTATTAAGGAAAAAATGATAAATATGTATATGAAATAATAGATAATAATTACAATCTTCCTACATATATTGCAAGTGTTAATATATGAAGTACATATTTTATGTAATGTGTTTATAGCACTGAATCCAGTCTTCACACTTTGTATGCTGTAGGTATAAATCCCGCCCGCTAAAAATGCTGTATATCTCAAACAGGTGGGATATACAAGACTAAACAAAGAATAGAAAGAATAGAAAGAGCAAAGCATTTGTATTTTACTATACATGTTTTACTATTTCTCTTCACTTATGTATCACGAAATAACTAATTGTAAGTCTTTTACGCACCCTACAATAATTATTTTATGTAGATTATAATTTATGATGGCGCTACTGATTACAGTGACAAATTGATTCAACTCACAATCATCATCTCAGTACTATTACTTGTGGCCGAGCATGGTTACTTGTCTTATATGTTTATGGTGCGCACGCTGATTGTACACAGTCATACGGGACCTACTGTTTAATATCGACCAATTTTTGTTAGAGAAGTTCTCTTGGCAAAGATACTTTCAGTGGTTTGCCTTTGCCTGCCGAGAGGAGCTACAAGCGAAAAACGCTTTTTCGGTTCTGCCTGGAATCGAACTCGGGATCTCTGACATAGCAATTTCGTGCGCTGTCGCTATGCCACGCTCGCACTCTCACTCACAATAATTTCATTAATATTAACAGTAAGAAACTGAAATCATAACGCAATACTAATATAACATAAAGACATGTAACAGAGTAGTTGCAGGAAAATTACCCTCACTCCTATTTTTTCTGCGGCGTAAATTCCAGCGGAATTTATTTGCCGAAGTTACCCTATAAATTACAACAATAACTAATATGAAAATATTAACTTAGCTGCTTTCTAACTTCAATGGTTTCAAAAATGATTTCTTTCTTAGTTCGGAAACTGCGATAGTCGCTAACAAGTTTTAATAAAAATTGTTTTTAATCCACACCCTTTGTTACAATAGTGCTATAATTAGTAATTAGCTTTATTCCCTGTGTCATTATTTGAAATCATTGCAGTTAGAAAATTGATTTTATAGTTAACTTAATATGTTTTTGTATTAGTTATCTTTGTAATTTATAATATATAAATTATGAATAACAATCAATGAAAGTATTTTAAAAAAGTATATTTCTCAGATAGAATCTCATTTGTCGGTACTATTCTTATTCTATTAATTTAAAATTTTTACGAGTATAATTTACCTATTGTATATTGGAACAATTTTAGATGGTACCCTAAAAAGGAAAATCAAATGTCAGTAAAGGATTATCCAACGGCATATATGTATATGAGTTAAACTATTTATTTTTATCTCTTAATCATTAACAATTCACCTAATTATATTAAACGAGAGTATAAGGTTTCAAATAATGCAGAAAAGCAAGGCACATATGTTAAAAAAAAAAAAGAAAAGTTTTCTTTGGCCGTTTTCTTTGGAAAATACGCTTAAAAAAAAAACAATATTGATAATATAATATAGGGAAATTCAAATGTTTAACGACTTTCGGTATGAGTTCCTGTTGTCCAATTAAACTGAAATTTTACAGGATTTATTTTTTTTTGTGAATTGAAATCATTTTGAGGGGTGCCGCGAAAAGAATTCGAAAACATTTTTTTTCAAGAGTAAAGATGGACCCTAATTATATATACATACATACACATAGGGTGTCTCACCTAAAAAAAGATACAGAAATATGTTGAAAACTCAAAAACAAAAAGGCAAAGATATTTTATATAAAAGTTATATGATTTAAAGGGATATAAATAATAATAAAATCATTTCTCCAAAAAACTGATTTTTCAAAATCACTTTTTTTCAAATAGAATGATATGATTTTTAGTAATTATTTACAATAAGACTTTTTCCGAATTTTAATATTTTTTTCTTGCAATTTTGATAAAAATTGTTAGTTGCGACTTTAACGGTAATCATCCGGAGGAAGTCAAAAAATAACATATCTGTAACATATCTATTTTTTGTAGCTATTTTTCAGCAAAAGTTGTAGGGTTTAAAAAGGTCTATTCACTGATCACATCCGTTTGATCTTGAGTGGCGTCGCCAAAATCAGGTCAAGGTTACATTTTTTTTTTAGTGGAACACTAAAAAACTCTATTTTGCCAGAATCTAATAGCTGGTTAAGAGTTTTTTAAAACATTACAATAAAGTTATTTTTTATTAAATGTAATGTCCAAGCTTTATAACTTGAAAAGTATTTAATGAAAAATAACTTTATTATAATGTTTTGAAAAGCTCTTGAGACCAGCTATTAGATTCTGGTATCAAAAATAGGATATTCCATAAAAAAAATCGATTTGATCTTGACCTAATTTTGGCAGTGCCTCTCAAGGTCAAATGGATGATATCCTTTTTAAGTCCTACAATTTTTATTGAAAAAGAGAAGAATTTTCTCAAAAATGCTTTTGAAATATTCGACTGTTTCCAGATTTTTGATACACCCTATATATGATTTTTGAAAGAGCCGATTTTAATTCTAAATACGACTAGTATAATACATTTGTATGTGTCTTATATAACTCTTATATGAATCTTATATAAATCTTTACTTAAAACCCAAATTCTTTGCTTTAAAAACACAAATTATTTTCTTATATATAATATAATTTTTGTGTTTTTAAAACAAAGAATTTGTGTTTTAAAGTAGAAAATTTATGTAATTAAGGCAGAGAATAAATAATAAAAAATATTCAGTACACACTCTACCTTGCTTGTAAGGGTCTTTCTAATCTTTTCAGTTTCCATTACTTTTAGTATATCGTAAACTTATTAATTTCGATAATAAGTTAAACTACAATGATGTAATGAAGCAGACACAATATATTACCGTATTAGTAATCAATATATTACTGTAATAAAATATCTAGGATTGAAATCGGTCCTTTTAAGAGTCATAATAAATTTGTAATGTCGGAAGATACAAAAAGTTGTACTGGAAATAAATGGTTAAAAAATATAAAAAGCTTACACGTTTTTCGATCTCCCCCGGTTCATTATCATTATTAAAGTCACAACAAAGATTTTTTATTAAAATTGCAAGAAAAAATACTAAAAACACTTCGGAAAAGACCATATATATTGTAAATATTATCTGATTTTTTTTTATTCATAATTAATATAATTCCTCTGATTATTCTGTATATAAAAGTATTAAGGTATGGTATCAAAAAATCAAATAGTTTTGAGTTACTTTACATATATAGTACAATATTTTAGTATATATTGACACATAAAAAATTAAATACCTCATAAATTATTTATTTTTTAGTAACTGTGTCTTAATATTTTTTTGCATAGAATAATGAGATAAATTAGTCGATGTAAATACATAGTTGCTTATTAAAAATAATATATATTTTGCAAGGTTGCATTGTGTAATTACATATTTTCTTTAAGCAACTATATATTTTCTTTATACCAAGTAATTTATCTTATATTGTGCATGAAAGTATTAGATATGATTATAAAAA